CATTTAAACAGTTCTGCTTACTGCAGAAACAAATTCTGTCTCATGTAAAGACTTTTTAGGTGGAGTCAGGTACTGATGCGCGCATCGTCAGAGTGGTAACATACTTTTATTGCAGTTTTTCTCATAAGGAAATCCCATTTAATATGAATTTTGAGATGACAAAATGAGGGCGAAGGGTAGAGCTCAGCAGAGTAAAAATTGATCAGACCATAGAGGGAACCGCATTGGGGAAGATTTGTATGGCTGCAGTAATGGACTGTATTAAAAAGATTCCTTAAGATGTCATAAAAGTGATGGGACGGTGTCACAAGGTGTAGACCCGTCTGCTTGGAAAGCTTGAACACTCAAGCACATCAATTTTAGGAGGGGGGGGGGGTGTGCTATGGACAGATGCCACATACCCACTGTGTGTTTTATGATTGAACTTGTGGTTGTAATTAAAGGTGAGAGTTTTATATTCGATGGCTTTGATCAAAGTGAACCAAAAATGCTATCAGTCAACAGCTTGTAGGCTTTAAGATTTGAATCTGAATTTAGTTAACGCCATAACTCTTTTTATAAGGTCCATATAAGCCTTTACACCTCCGTGTTTATTTATATAATAATGAGACAAGGAAGAATTATGTACAGTGCCATACAGTATTCACACACTTTCAACTTTTTTACATTTTTTTCAAACAAATTTTATTAGAATTAAGGATGGGTGATACCCTAAAAATTCATACAACTAAATCAGTTTTTATTATATCACATTGTATTTTGAAACAATAAAAAAAAAATAATCATAATTTCAAATGTATATTAAACTTGTTATGGGACATTTAATTAATCCGTGCAAAAAAATGGTACATACATTGATATCACAATATATTTATTTACTTCTTCCCTTTTTGCTCTGTTTATTCCTCAGGAGACTAATTTCAATGATTCTTGAAATCATCTCTTCCCTCTTAAAAAAATTTGCATTTCAAAAGTTCAGAGGGCGTTCAGCCCAAAATTTATCTTCCGGGTCAGTGAGCAGTTAGTGAACAAAGTTCAGCTGTGTGTGAAGGTCCAGTGAAGGTCCCTGGGTTTTGGTGGAGAAAATTAGTGCAGAAACAGCATCTTAAAAACCAAGGAACACCGCAATAGACTAGAGATAAGTAATGTCACACCTTGAGCCATAATACTGCAAGGTGATTGTTTTGAGTTGAACTCAACCAATTTGAGCTGGAACGGTACAAGATGGATTCTTGTGTGTTTGTGAATACATAAAAACTGTTAAAAAAATCAGCCATGTTCAAGGTAAGAAGCTCTCCATTACGTCACCTCAAACATATCAGTGTGCATTTATTTGCACGTGTAACTCGCAGCACACTGAAGCAATAGTGATTTCTTTTTTTAAATCAGTGAGCAGCCCTGTTACTGTCTGTGACTATATGCCTCGTCACACAAAGGATTATGGGATTCCTTATAGACTCCAGGCACCAAATAGGAACAATGGAAGGTCCCTTTGTTAAAGGAACTATGATAGGAAGCATCTAGCTTCCTTTTCCTAGCTCCTTCCTTACAGTCAGCACTATTTCAACCCCTCTAATCATGGTACCGCTGACAATTATCTGGTTTGGCTTTAGAGTTCTTACTGATTTGCAGTATTCAGTTTTAGCTTTATCTTTGATCAAATAAAATAATGATATAAGGACCCAGCCAAAGTTCAAACTTAGATCCAGCTAAGACTCTGAGGCATTTCATAAACTTTTGAAATAAACAGATTTGCTTCATCGAGTCTGACTAAATGTGAGCCTTTAGGCAAAGAATAAGCAAAGATCCCAGTCCCTAGACGTGCAAAGCTGCATGATAGAAGCTAAAAAAATATAAAAAAAAAACTAAAGACAAACTTTTTGTAATTGCAGGGGAGTCTAGGGTCCCTTTTCTTATGCTGAAACTGTTTGTTTTTTTTATGTCGGGTTGGATGAAATCATTTACCTGCTGCCTGCTTAAAGGACGAGGGATGGACAGAGAATATTGCACTGCAGAGGAATGGTAGCACTAAACTTTCTACTAAGTTTTTTGGTCAATAAAAAGAGCAAAATTGCATTTAAAATCAAGCTAAAATAGCATTTGTTTACAAAACATGTGCATCATTTTAAAAGGAGCTTTGTAGCTTTTCTTTATGACCCCATACGTAGATAAGCTTTTTTCAGTCTAAGTTGATGCGAAAAATTAACTTGGATTAAATGAGGTAATAATCTTTACCTCTTTCTGTTGAATCTTTATGTTTGTCTAATATTCTGTATAAATGTGTAAAAAAGGAATCATGTCATTGATCAAAGGAAGAACCCCATTGATTACTGTACGAGACAGCTGATGGTTAAACCATAACATTTTTTTTTTCAAATAAAATCAAATCGGGTGGTACATATAAAAGTAAATCAAAGGAAAAATTAATACGATTTTAAAAGTGAAGCTGTAGAGCAGCGAACAAATACCTCAATAAAAAAAAAAAAACAGCTTTCTCATAAGAAAATTAAAGCTTTTAAAAGACCAGGTCCGTGTCAAGTTTAAAGAAAAATTGGATTCAGATATTCTACTGAAGTGTATTGCAAATACGTCATCTTACAGCTAAAGGAAATGGTACAACTAGGTCAAAATTTGTGCATTAAAAATGGGTTTAACGGTTCTAAGAACTTGTGAGAGATACTGTATTTTTACATATGTTATTAATCAATATTTTTTTCTTTCTGGTTTCAGCTGGAGTTTTTATTGCCATAATAGTCCTCTTTGACTAATTAAAAAGGAAACATAACCCACAGAAACCCAGCACTACAATGTTTGCACAGTTTAAAACAAGTTGTGAAGCTTAATGCACAAAGTTTTTTTTTTTTTTTTTTTTAAATATAAACCTTCAGGCCTGACAGTGAATGCAGCGCATATGGAATATCATTTGTTGCCAGCGGGGTTACAATCATGTTTTTCTCCCACATATTTCCCTGTTTTTTGTTAGAGAGGGTTCTAAGCTGCTGACAGGTAATGAAATTGCTCTTCAGCACTTGTGCGTATGATCCCGAGGAGATAAGGCGGAAGATGAATGAGGAATCTGTGCTGTCAGTCTTGAGGCTAAACAGTCAGGGAAGATGTCATTCGTTTCAGTGAGAGGTGTGTGAATACGGCAAGGCAGCACAGTCTGATATGCTAGCCCCCACCCCTGCCACCAAAGCATCAATCTGGCAGCTGACAAATGTTGATTCTGCATTAAACACAATGCCAGTACGCTGTGCAAATAATGTTCTTTAAGATGGCAACCCTGATCCCCTTTATGACTAAAGCTACGGCATCCTCCCTACCTCCGCAGTTTAACAGCTTTCCGATAGGAAATGTGCAGTGAGGGAAAGTGTCTTACACAGCACTGCAGGCTCTTTATTTGGCAGCGCCTGCCTGGGAAGGCCGAGGCCTCTCGCTGCCCCAGTCGACCTAAGCAACAGCTGGCGTTCACAGCAACATTTCCTATTTCTGCCCAAGGTGGATCGTGTAACTCTCACTTTATCGCCCTTAGAGGCCACGTGAAGGACAAAGCAAGCACGCCCATAAATAAAACTAATGTTTTGATACAGGCCTCCCTTTGCAGCTGATTGAGGGATCTGTGATGGCTTGAATAAATCTCATTGCCACCAGAACAATGGATGAGTAAGTGCATGGTTTTTCACTGTAAGTTGATGTATGAGTTCATATCCTCTTCTTTTGATTAGGTATCAGTAAGCTGGTAAATGAAGAACCCACAGATCGACATACCAACAGTACAGTATTTACAGGCGGTAGCCCCTGTAGTGTCATAGTCCGAAAGTCAGAGCCATACTATAAAGCGCTCTGAATAGTCATCCTATAACTAGGTGGTGACAGAAGCCTTATATTTGACTTGGGTTCAAAAGCAAAAAAAATATTATAGAAAAATGTTTAAGAAACTGTAAGTTATAAAGACAAACACACAATATCACTCAACTAGAAATTGTCATACGGAAAATGTCTTGTATAAAGAGGTATTTTGAAAATGTTTGAGTCTATAACATAATCAGAATAAAAGTTTCTAAAACATACAGGGGCTCCAAAGTCAAATAAAACAAACTATGTTTAGAGGAAATCTAGGGGTCGGTATTACTGGAACAGTGCTATAATTGATGTTTAAATAATGAGTACTCAGAACATCTTGTTTGAAAATATCAAATTTTAAAGAGCTCACATTTTATATTACAGCTAATTATATTTGGAATCGTTTTAAACTTTCAACAGGTGCACAAGTATCCCTCTGTTTTAACTCAGATGCAGGGTTTCTATTTATCCCTGCAGCACATTACTAACAGCCGGCCGGTCCCTCCGTCCGCATGTCCCCATCGCTGACCCGATAACATTTATAGTTGTAATGGATTTTTTTATGCCTGTCATTAACTCGCAGAGAGATTGGAGAAAGAAATTGCTTGTACCTTTTTGTGTGGTATTTCAACTTTATAGCATTATGCTCAGATATGTCACCTTCCATCAAACCCTTAAAGGCCTCTCCTTTCACTGGTTTTGTTTTAAATGTGCAGGTCCTTTTGTTGAGGACCCTTGTAGCATCAAGAGCTCATATTTAATATTTAATGATGTTGAATAAAAGCTTGGAAAGATATAATTTCCGTCTAATTATGAGCTCCGTCTCCACCAGAGCTTTGAGGGTGATTTTAGCAGACTACTTGGCTAATATAGACAATTTATTTGAAGCTGGTTTGAATCTAAATATTTAATAATGCACCACTAAAAATGAGGTTCACTTCAGCACTGTGAAAAATGGGAATTTATTTAAGTTTGTTCAAAGTAACTTTAATGCACAGTAGAAAACAATGGAAGGTTGGAATGGATACAAAACTTATCAATGTGCATTCATTTCTTACAGCCCAGACAGAGACTAAATGAACAGTAACAGCACAAGCAAATCAAAACCCCAGAGGGTTTTATCATTCTGGCTTTGAAAAATTTATCACACAATGCATTACATGTCAACAATTACATGGTTTGTTTTTTTTACAAAAGTATTTCACTTGCCTTGTTGGTCCACAAAGAAAAAATATAAAAAAATATTTCCCTTTACTTGATCTTATAGTCATTGATAATACAGATACTTTTGATAAGAAACCATTTTCTGTTTGGCAGACAGTGTGATAAAAGCCTCATGCCCAGCATAAATGAACAGAGCCAATATTACCCCATTTCCATTTCCTAGGAAAATCAAGCTTATTTGTTTTTCTTTTGGTTTTTCTTGCTGGGCTCGTTGAACTGGACGATATTAAAATGTATAAATGTTCCCAAGAATTGCAGGAAGGCGGTCGTTGACACCAGGACAGGAAACAAGTCGGGTAGATGTGTTGGTGGCTCCAAAGCTACGCTCAGGATGCTCAAAACAGCCATGAGAGCAATGCTGATGTAGAACTATCAACGATAAAGGCAGAATGTTTGCATCAAAAACTTGAAACCAAAACAAAATGTTAAAAGAAGGTTAAAAAGGATGGATTGGGGGTTAGATTAAGAAGATTGTAGCATTTTTTGGGGAGAACTTTAGACTTTGTAGCTCAGGGATGTTATAAGATGTTGGTTTTACTTCAGGAACCTTCCTGCATTAAGATATATTTTCCTTAATAGATTTATAGAAATAGAAAGTCATTTAATACTAAAAAGCATAAAAGTGAACCTTCTGTGTTCCTTCTGGTTTGTATCCTTCAAATATTTACATTCAAAAATAGAAAGTATTTTCTTTTGCTTGAATCAATGTCATTTATCATATTTTTCTCCTTTAGCTTTTTATTAAAACATTTTTCATATATAAATATAAAAAAAATTTTCTCAAAGTGACCCTAGTCTTTTCCATCCCACCTTTAAGACTAAGATCAAGCATTTTTTTCATTAATTTATTATTAAATCTCATAAGATTTGGCATTCTAAACAATCAGGTATTGTTATTTGTAATAAAAAAATAAAGGCTTGTAAAAATAAATGTTATGAACTAAAATTAAGTGGCTTTTTCTGTGGAGAAGAATAACTTAAGATTATTTGAATTCTTACAAAAGGGAATTTATAAAAACATAAGTAGTTAAATTGTGGAAGCCCCAATACAATTAGTACAAATAAATTACCCTGAAAAAAAACTTTTCATCTTTTAAAATTTAGATACAATAATTTCTATCTGAAATGTCTGATTTGACCTTCTTTCCTCTTTTTCCATAATTTGATCTTAATTAATTTTTTCTAAACGTCAGCTTAAAAGTTGCACTGGAGGAGGTCGAATGGGTTGTTTGCTCAGTTGAGCTGGTCCTGTTTTTCCGGTGGATAAAAGCCACTTCTTTGGTGATCAAAACAAAAAAACAAAACAAAAAAAATCTTCCATTTTACCTCAAAGACAGCAAACCAAAAAACCACTGCATTAAAAAAAAAATAAAATAAAAAGCTTCAGGACAACTTTAAAATCATACAATCGAATAAATCATGTAATATTTTGAAAAGCAAAGCAGTGACCACTAATTACAGGCTGTTAGCTAATATAACAATTTTAAAATTTCTCTTACAGCATCATTGACATCACTTACCCCCCCTTGTCTGCTTTTGCTTCACAACCCAAATGATAAGTCTGGGATTATAATGAGGGAAACATGGCATACCCTTTCTACTAGACGCCCAAAACCCATGAAACCTTATCTCCATCGTCGGGGCTCACTATTTATGCTGCTTGTGTAAATAAATATATCTAGGCAAACCTGTGTTAATGACACGTCCTATAAAAAGACAGCTTCTCTTAATCTCTGACACCCTACCGGTGCCGCTGTCGCTAAGGAGCTGGCGGCAAAGCCACCTCAGATGTTGTGGAAACTCAAATAAGTGATAAATAATTCTAAGGCTGGCAGCAGTGGTCGTCCCAGGACAGCTTACAAAGCTTACACCAGCACATGATATTTATTTATATAGTTGGATATATCTTCTGACAACATTGCAATTTAGGTCTTGAGCCACTTTAGAAATACCAGGCACCCCGGACCCTGAAATCAGCACCCTTCTTTTTACAGCCAAGCCTGTTTAAATCTTACTGTTGACATATATAGAAATATTTATTTCAAAGGTTAAAGTTCTTGTTTTTTTTACCTATGCTTATTATCTCACTAAGGTTATAAAGATCTATCAAAAATGTTTAACCTAAAGTATCAAGCATCTAAATATTTAAGCGCAGAAATAATCATTATTTAAAGAGCAACCATACAAAATGATGCTAAAAATACTTTAAAATGTGTATTTTGCCAATAACAATTTTTAGATGGTTCATATTTTGTTTATATTCTATGAGTAGAAAAAACAATGTACACCGGAGGGTTAAAAAAAAATTCAAATTCAATCTTGATGCTAAAATGTTTTAACCATAGTAGAGGAATGGAGCGAAGTTGAGATTTTGTTGTGTATTTTAATTCAAAATGCTTCTTAATCCCAAAGGGAAATTAAAATTTTGCAGTAACTTATGGGCTTTATTTAATAGAGTTGTTGTAGATATTAATAGCTGTAGGCAGAAAGGATTCTATAGAGTGGTCCATCTTCCACCGGGTGTTGTGACGCTTCTGACTAAAGACACTCTGCTGGTGTTTAACAATCTTCTGAAGAGGATGCTCACTGCTGTTCATAATATTCTTCATTTTATAAAAATTTCAACCGGTTCTGGAGAAGTTCCTAGAACAGAACCTGTGTTATTTATCAGCCTGTTGAGCTTTTTTGAGTAATTTGCTCAGATTCCGTTACCCCAGCGGATAACAAAAAATAAAAAAAATCACTCTCCACAACCTTGGAAAAAAGAAACTCTGATCGAAAAATAAGAATCAAGCTGGCAGAGCTGCCTCAACAGGCAGCACAATAGTAGAAAAATTGTTCATCAATCTGTCAGCATAATCAGTTCACTATTTTGATATGAAAAACGAATCGACCTCTGCAGAATAGTGATCAGATTTTTTTTATAACTTATCTACCTATGAATAACGTTTTGCGGAATATAATTGAGATTTTCTATTTTTCTAATATCACCTCTACAATTCTTCCTCCTGGTCTTCATTTAAAGTAGTAAGAGTCGCCCTTAAAAAGCCAAAAAGGATCACAGTTTGCAAACATACATTTTCCAGATGACACTAACAAGTGAGCCATCTTGCTTGCAACAGATCTTACTGTTCGAGACAAACATTTTAAATTGCCCCCAGATTTCCAATTACTGGTTTTGTAAAGGCTTGGACTACCAAAGCCAATTTCTTTTTAAAGAACAGTAATATAGACATCTTCTTATTGTTTTAGTTTCTGACATAAACCCTAACTTTTTTAGCAGAGGCAACATCACACAGTAGTCTGAGAAATATTTTTGAAAATTACATTTCAAATTGTTTTTAGACTCTGAATGTAGCAAGTAGCATTATTAGCGCAACAGCATAACTAAATCAGCAGTCTCCATGTATGTTTGTAGATAATTCACTTTTTTAACAACTATCAGAATTTCCAGAGGCTTTCTGAATCTACCAAGTTGCAACTTATTTCAAACTTTACTGTATTTTACTCCATTCTTCCTTCAATTTCTTAAAAACTATTTCTAAAAGTAGATATTTCTTCATGGAGTTGCAGAGACATAGGTGGCTGGAACTTCATGGAGAAAGATCTGTTTTTTGAGTGTTCATTTGGGAGACATTGAGATGGTAACTGACCAAATTTTCTTGTACATTTTTAATATGTCTAATCTTGATGAAAAAATGGCAATAATACCAAACATAATTCATTAGCGCAAATATTTAAAAGCACAGGAGCAAATTCTTCAAACATTATTTGGAAACCTGCAAATCATTAAAAAAGTTGTTCCCAATAATCTTCTTTGGTACACTCTGTAAAACAATATAGAGAACTTCCTGGAAAAACAAATGAAAAACAAAACAATATTCAATCATAGTTCAAACTCACCTTCCATCTTATCATACAGGCCAGGTATTTTGATGGCAGAAAGAAAAAGAGCTTGCTATAGGTCCCAAGCTCCTCCGATGATTCATCCAGAGTAGACAATAAGTAGACTGTAAGGAAGAGATACCCCACTGAGGTCACAGTATAGGGTACCAGCAGGCCGTCTTTCAGGAAAAGAGGAAGCATGCTTGAGAGAAAAACAATAAACAGATATTTATAGTTAATTTTTTATTTTTTTTGGCTATGATTGAACCAAACATTTAGCTACACTGGTCACCTTTTTAATGTTTAAAACAATGTTTACTGCTTAAGGTGTAATGCATTGTTATACAAACACTGTTTTTAAAAGGCAGTGGATATATTGTCACATTTCCACAGCATTTTAACCATTTATCATAGGACATGATTCAATTTAGCTTCACGTTTGTTTTAAAACAAAAGCAACTGGACGTAAAACATTTTTATACAGGAGGGGTTTAAGAGCAGCACGTCCCCTGAGGAGAGACACTTATGACATTCATGCAGAGCTTATCTCAGTTTAGCAGCGGGGCAGAGGCAAGAACAACAGTTGGCTCATAGTAAACACACAACACCCTGCTTGAAACGCAAAACAAAACAACTTTTCTCTCCACAACAGATTACTTATTTAAACTAAACAGTTCCACTCAGCTGCTAAATGTTTAACATTTAAGAAATACATACTTTCTCAATGGAAGCAGACTGGGTTCATTCACCCGGTAAATGTCGCCAGTCTGAGCATTCCATCAGCAAACAAAAGATGTTTTTTCTAAATCTCAAATAAAAATGTCTGTCGAGATGATGCGGAAGTCCAAATGAAACTGTACTGAGAAAACATTTCTGAATTGACCTCTTGTCCCTGCATAGCACACTTAGACACAAGGCATGCAGAGTATGCTGTGTAAGCCCCACATATCCTTATACTAAACCACATGCACAACAATTAGTGCTGCCGGAAGAATTTAACAACAGCTGATGAAAGTAAGTTGCAGCATCGTGTTGCTATTTTTCTTTTCCATTCATGGTGCTCACATCTCTGTCTGCATCAGCTGGCTTCTATGGTTGTATCTGTTTGCTCTTTAAAGGACAAATGGTTTCATATAACATCTAATTATGAAAAAACAATAGAGAATCACATCGGGGCATGCAGACTGATGAAAAAAAAGAACAAATTGCGTGAAGTCCACTTTCATTAATTAACAGCTTATCCCTACAAAGGGATGCCAACTAAATGCATCCCATAAGTTTTGATAAATTATTCCCTTATGGGGGAGTGGTGGCCTAGTGGTTAGGGCATTGCGCTTGGAATCCAGAGGTTCTGAGTTTGAGCCCCACTCCACAGACTGACACTCTGGGTCCCTGAGCAAGACCCTTAACCCCACACTGCTCCCCGGGCGACGTACAATGACAGCCTACTGCTCCACAAGGCGATGGGTGAAATAAAAAGAGTCCATTTCATTACTCTGTACTTCTGGCAGTGCAATGACAAAAAAAAAAAAAAAAAAAACTGGTAAAACCCCCAAAAACCATTGTAAAAAAAAATTACGTGTTATTTCACAAACTCCTGGTCAACACTTACTGTAACTGTTGGTGTTTATATACTATACAACACCATTTCATGTTCTAACTGGCAACCCAAACTGCTCAAAGAGCCATACTTGACCAAAAAAAAAACAAATCTGTCTGGAACCGCACAAATATAAAAGTTTCGAATAAGTCTAGTATGGCAACTCGGGCTCCAAGTGTATTATCCCACTATAAAAAAGGACTGCATGGGCTTAAATATATAATAAACATGCATAATTAAATGTATATCCTGGAGCTAATGTCACATCATGTGACTACTCTCCTGCACGATATTCGGTGCATTAAGTTTAAATTCCATAGTAGCGCGAGGTGAGGTGAGCAGTGAGCGCTCTCACCGCTCAACACCACGAAATTTATATGCATTAGGTTTTGTTGCATTGGTGAAATTCTAGAAACATGATAAAGAAATCAGACTTTTGTTGTTATTTTTGTTTTGAGGATTTGGGTAAAAAAAAAAAAATGGATGAAAATTCACATACCTGCATAAGAGCGCTAGCTGTTCGATCTGTGGACAGTCTTCCATGCTTGCAACAAAACTAACAGCAGTAGTGGAGTTGGAGATGCAATCCTCTCCTGAAATCTATCTTTGCTCTCCTGTAATTTATCCAGAAATTCTGCAATCGCACTTTTTCCCCCTCACTCGCAACTTGGTGGCCGGCTGCATATTTAGCATACCTTCCTTGGAAATACCTTTCTAAATGACTCTTCCCGCGGGTTTGCTTTCAACAGCCACCTGCCTGCCACCGTGCCACGCTAAAACGTCTCTTACGTGCTATGACGCAAACCTAGTTGACAGAAATGTTTGCTTTTATTCTTTGAATGTATTTATTATACAAAACATAATGAATGTTTGTTTTAATATGGTGTGCAGGAAGTCAAACAAACAAACAAAATCAAATCAANATGTGACTACTCTCCTGCACGATATTCGGTGCATTAAGTTTAAATTCCATAGTAGCGCGAGGTGAGGTGAGCAGTGAGCGCACTCACCGCTCAACACCACGAAATTTATATGCATTAGGTTTTGTTGCATTGGTGAAATTCTAGAAACATGATAAAGAAATCAGACTTTTGTTGTTATTTTTGTTTTGAGGATTTGGGTAAAAAAAAAAAAATGGATGAAAATTCACATACCTGCATAAGAGCGCTACCTGTTCGATCTGTGGACAGTCTTCCATGCTTGCAACAAAACTAGCAGCAGTAGTGGAGTTGGAGATGCAATTCACTCCTAAAATCTATCTTTGTTCTCCTGTAATTTATCCAGAAATTCTGCAATCGCACTTTTTCCCCCTCACTCGCAACTTGGTGGCCGGCTGCATATTTAGCATACCTTCCTTGGAAATACCTTTCTAAATGACTCTTCCCGCGGGTTTGCTTTCAACAGCCACCTGCCTGCCACCGTGCCACGCTAAAACGTCTCTTACGTGCTATGACGCAAACCTAGTTGACAGAAATGTTTGCTTTTATTCTTTGAATGTATTTATTATACAAAACATAATGAATGTTTGTTTTAATATGGTGTGCAGGAAGTCAAACAAACAAACAAAATCAAATCAATCTTTTCAAATTTTCATACATTTTTAGAAAAGCTTCAGGGAGCCACAAAGGGGGCATAAAAGAGCCGCATGATGCCAACCCCTGTTCGAATAGTAGAAGTCAAAAATGTAGAATTGTGTGCTTGCTGCAGCATTTTTGTATCGATTCTGTCATGTGGTGTGGATAGTTATTCCCCATCAACAGATTGCAACCTACTTTCAGCTTTGTGTTAAAAGTTATTGGACTATTTTTCCTTGCAAACATGCATTTATTGATTAAAATTTGTCAGTGTTTTCAAGAATTTACTCCTAATGTAGGCTATTTTCAAAATTTGTTAAAAGTGGCTCCTTAGCAAAGCACTCTAAATAGTCGTACAACTAGCTAAGCGCTCTAAAAATGTGGTCTATTTGCCATGTAGACACAACAAGAGACAGTGGCTTTTATCAAACAGCGGACAGTTTGTTTCTTCTGTGTTATTTTTACCTGAATGTTGAGGCCTGCAGGAACCAAATACTCATAAATGGAAATTCATTCAAGAGGAGACAAACTGGGCTGAAAAGAAAAGAACAATGGTGGCTTCAGACAATTTTAAGTTAATTTTAAACTATTACATTAACACTTACACATTGACTCAACTAGACTTAAGCTAAATTGTTAAATAAGATTTTTTTCTTTTACATTAAACAGATGTTTTGGACTTTTAAATAATGAGTGGACTGTCCATAAGGAAACAATTCAACACCTTTATCTGGATCTGATGAATATCTCATCAATTCAAAATTAAGATCTGAAAAAGCTGTAGCAACAAAGTTCAAATCTGTTTGTCCGTATATAACTCTATTTTTAACTGAAGCAGGCTACCAGCCTCACTTTTACACTGTTACCCAACGGAGGATCTTTCCAACAGTCCCTGAGCCCATAATTACAGTCAGTGCTCTTTGGTGATCCTGTTACAGCCTAATAATTGATCCTGCGCTAACAACACCCCGAGCTGCTGCCTACTATCCTCTCCTAATCCCTGGGCATGCATTACTGATTGATTCAGGGGGACAGGTGGGAGATATAACTCAATAGTTAATAAAGCAACAATCTACACAGATCTAGATTAATAGATGAGCCCAGATCCAGGAGCTAAATCCCATGCTGCAAAGTCTATCCAAGGTTTCACTTTCCTTCTGCAGCTTCATACGTAAGAGGATAAATAATAACGCACAACACAGACAAGCACACATTTAATGCCTGAGCTCTGAAACTATCGTATGATCCACCTCTAAAGTGTCACAGTGCATATCATGATGGCGGTTACTTGGACTAGAAGCATAAAGGAGGATAACGGCGCAAGTCTGAGCAAAAATAAGAGCGTCAATATGACTTTTAAGTTGCACGTTTACTAAAACAGATAATCTGAGAGAAACTTTCAATCATTAATTTTTTAATGCAAATATCTCAGTATTGATTAAGAAAAGAATGCAAACTGCAATCAGAAAGACTCTGGTCTAACTGGGATATCCAATGATTATCCTATTTCTGGGAAGTAAGGCTGCTTACAAGTGCAAACCTTTCAGAATCAAGACAAAAAAAAAAAAAGTTTTTACTGAGGATCAATTATTGACACTTACAGGGCAGCCAACAGGATGGACTTCTCATGGACTTGATAGGAGAAAAGGAAAAAGGCCAAAGATGAATTGACCTGAGAGAAAAGAATTATTAAAACACATGAAGAATATAGAGACATCGTCTTACTAGTACTCAATGTCACATTGTAACAGGATTTTTAATGTTTGAGCAAATTTATTTGGAACAAAAACCCCTCAAATTTAGCCAGATTGGACACATTCAACTTTGTTTCTATAATCCAAACGTTTGCTTTGTCTCCTGGATGATCAGTCAGTTTCTGTTAAACAATGTTTTTAATTTTTTGCCCTTTCCATTAACAACAACTTTGTGACAAATCACGCTCGACCTGTCTATAGGTTCTTCCACCTGAGCTGTGAGTCCCTGCAGCTCCTCCAGAGTTACCATCGACCTCTTAGCTACCTCTATTGTTAATAAACTGTCTCTTTTTAATTTAGGCTAAAATCAGTGTCTTCATAGGTTTGCAGTTGTGTAATACTGTTTCAGTTTTAGGATGTTAAATAGGCAAAGACTGGGACTTTAGTATAAACCCTAATCCTACTTTGATCTCTTCGATATGGTTTGTTTACTGATGGTCTCTAATGCAATCCAAGTCTCCACAGAACACCTGTATCTATACAGAGAATAATTTACACACAGCTAGACTCTGTTTACGTTTACTGGCAATGCTCTGAAAGCAATCGTATTTGCTGGAAAAATGCTGATTTATATCAATTTATCACACAAACCCCCAACAAAAATACACTAAGGAGAGTTCTTGTAACACTAAATGCATGTTAAAAAGTCCAAGAGGTATAAATACTTCTGCACGGCCACCATTGGTACAAAAACACACTCACCAAAGCTAGTTTAAAGTGCCAGAAGGTGGGCTTCATCAGCACTCTGATAGAGGATGGTAGCGCCGCTAAGAGAGTTAAAGCCAAACTGTAACACATGAAACAGGGAAATGAATTTCAACTTATAAAATACAGACTGAACACATGGAAAAACACACAAGGGGATTCTCAAACAGGCTCATGGGCATTTATCTTTCTAGGACAACACCTGCTCTGAGGCTAAGACCTCTCTGCATAGAGGGACTGACCAAATAATAAAGGTTCTTAAAGGATAGCCGGCATTAGTTTAACCCCTCAATTGTCACCTGCTGGGGGCACAGGCACCACAAGAGACAGACTTAGTGTCAAAGTGAATGTGTAGAAATGTGCAAACAGGTCAGGGGTTGGTTATCTGAGAAGGCAACAATGTGCTGTAGGTCACTGAAATAAGAGACGCAAACAGCAAAATAAAACAAAATTTTAAAAGTAATACAATCAATCGGTATGCTCACATTTGAGTTTGATAGGTCAAACGTTTCTTTGATACATGCTTGAAATACAGAACAATAAAAATAAATCAAACTTGATCCTCGGCCTTTGATAGTTTAGCAGAAACAGATAGATTCTGCAACCACATGACTATTGAATTAAACCATCTGGATTATTGTCTCAAAGCAATTAATTTCAGTTTTCAAGAGATTTATTCTTTTTTTTTCAAATATTCCTAAGGCACCTAAACCCCTTGGTGACCTGTTTAGAAAAACAGATGTAACTTGCTGCTCCCAGTTTCTGGTGGGTTCTTGAAATATACTTTTTAAAGAACTCAATCGCTGCTTTTAGGAAAAACTAAGCTTTTCCTTAAAAGATAAAAGCAATTCACAGGAAAATTACTTGGGGTAAAAGTTAGGAAAAACATTAAAAAAGAAAAAGCAAGGAACTATTAGAAAGACAGAAGCGGAGTAAAAACAAATGAAAGGATTACCTGAGGTAAAGCTGAGAGTCGCCTGTCAGAATGGATCTGATCTTTATCAGGGTGTTTAGGCTGCACCATGTGTTGGCCACCTTATCCTACACACACAAGCACAAAATGATAATATCATTAGGAACATATGTCCAAGACATGATAATATCTCAGATTGTTGTTTGCAACAAAGAAATAAAGATTAACGCGAGTGGTTACCTTGTCTTTGTAATTTTTTTGGTTTTGCATTAAAACAAACCCTAGTTTGTGCCACACTATATATTCATTGTTACCTCATTTACTGCAAAAATTAGGTAAACAGTAAACCTGAAAGCATCTCCAATCAGTCAGGTTTATTTACTAGGATATATATTTGTTATCTTCATGTTATATCTGAGTAATTCTGATCCAGAGTTGTCTATGTGTGTTTAGTTGGTTCTGAACACTGCTAGCTTCTACGGAAGCAGAGTTCTTCTGTTATTCACAGCCACAACAATAACTACAGCCAACAGGAAGATTTCTCCAACCAAGTCAAACCTTTCCCTACTCCTGTCTAACTTTTCTACGTTGTTCCTTCAAAGATTTTGCTTTTATTTCTCCATTATTGAAGCCTGATTTTAAATAAAACTTCAAAGAACTAGAAAAAGGAGCCTACAAGTTTATAAATAACATTTCATAGCTGTTTTACGGATGAGTCCGCATAAGCCAAAATTCTTAATGAATTATTGATTCTATTAAAAATGAAATAATTGGAACCCTGTTAAATATGCTTGATTAATCTATGGAATGTGAGGCAGGATCTGAGGTAACAAGAGAATCTGAACTGTGTTTGGATAGCTTTGAACCAATTGAACTTTCAGAATTGGCAAGAATGTTATCTTCATCTTGTTTATTTCCTAGAAAGAGCCACCTGAGGAGCTAATTAATGATTCCCGTTTCTAACAAAGAAAGTATTTATGGATCAGTGCTTCAATGTTTTCTATGTATGGCTGTGTTTGTCTCCTTGAACCCCAGTCATCCTCGTCCCGCTAGAAGTTTCTTCCTGTTAAAAGGGAGTTTTTCCTCTCACCTGTCGCTGCATGCTTGCACGATATGAGGGATTGCTGTGGAGTCAACAAAATGCAAACCAGTATCGACTGTCATCACACGCTTATCCAGAAGTGAGTCCTACAAATTCAATGACTCGATTCAATCATATGGTTTTCCTTATATAGGAAACATTTTTACCAATCTGACTGTGAGATCTGACTGAATTGTCTCTGTAAAGTTCCTTGAGGTAACATTTTGTAGTTTGGTGCTATATAAATTCAATTGAACTGAAGTATGGAAGCTTAAAAATGAATCCAAACAACTTTTGAAAGTGAGTACAAAGCTGATTATTGGCACAACCTAACCTTTACACTAAATGTTTAGAATGATTTAACCAGGTCAGAGTTTGGTTCCTGGAGCAGATAATGCTAGTGCAAACCCAGTCCAGGACCTTAAATCGGACCTATGAACTTAAACATCTGCTGGCATTTGCATGGTTACATGGTGCATGTGGCAGAAGAGGAGATTTTATTTTGAAAAAGATGAAAAAAAAAAACAAATTTTGGATGAAGATACTTAAATCTGAGGATGAAAAAGCTATTTTCTCATGAGGTTACATCAAGATGCTCAATTAAATTTGAACATAAAAGCAGCAGCAGCAACCCCTCTGGACAGTTTCTTCTTTGAGCTGTTTTTTCTTCTTTTCGATCAGAACAATAAAAAAACTAAACTAACTACCAAACAAACCCTAAAATTCTATATGTGAAAAAAAAAATGGTGTGAATCCTCACTTTTTTTTTTTAAGGATTAACATTGAATTACTCTTCCTTTTACCCCTTTCTTTCTCCCCCCTTAAACAGGTAGGTTTTAGAACCCAAACTTAATCCCGAAAACAACCTAACCAAAAGAAAACCCTAATGAAAAATTAATTGCAAAACAATGCATCTTCTTTTTTTATGTAGACATTTCTTTTTTCCCCTCCATCTTTATCTTGTTTTGTTACTTATTTTAATTACTACTTCCTTGTAGATCCTTTTTTATAATCTTAAGGTAGGTTTAATTCATATTTGATGCTAAAAACAATCTTTATCTGAAATATACAAAATCTGGAATCTTTTGACTTCTCGTAATAAAGGTGAAGAAAGGATTAATCCTTAACAAATTATGGAAAAATTATGATAGAAATTGTTAGACTGATTTATTAAAATTAATTTAATTTAGAGGAATTAAATTAACATAAAAAACTAAAAAAAAAACAGTATGCTACAAACATCACAGCGGTGTTGTAGTTCTACTGAAGTACAGATGAGGAGGATAGATGATAAAGCGGATGCTAAGCAATCACTTATATATCAGAACCAGCAGTGTACGGTGATATCACACGTCTAGATTAATTTAGTGATTCATCCGTCCTTTATTTTAATAGTTATCCTAAGGAGAAAATCCTTGTCTGGACTCCCCTCTGAGCTACAGCTGCTTCCCCACACAGCTGTGTGGACCTTAATGGTCGCCTTGTCAGCAGCACCAAATTGACCAGGGTTGTGTTTTCACAGCCCCATCCTTTCATTTTTCCTCTCTCCTTCTTGACATCAAATAACTACTGTGGGAATGTTCCTGGACACCAAGTTGAAGGCAAAGCAACCCCGACCCCCGGCAAATGGGAGTCTCAAAGCCAGAAAGGAATTTCACAGGGAGAAGCGTTTGGTGCCATTTTTGTGAGCAGGCCGCAACATGAGACAGCAGAATGCAGCTCAGTGGGTAAACTTACAACTGCTGCCTTTCCAGAAGTCACCAGGACCACCGGTCAGCAGTCGTCTTCATCCAAACCATCACACTCTGTGTTCCTGCTTGCAGTGCATGAATTCAGCTGAAATCATGAGCAAAGCCCATGCAGCATGTTTGAATTGTTTTGTTGAACAAATATTACTTTAATTCGCCCTGATTCTACAATAGAACTACAGATCACATCACATATCATTGATACCCTGTATTAAATGTCCATCATGTTACAAACTTTCAGAAACAAGAGCTGCAAACTTCTACCTCTAAACTGTCACATCAACATTCAACATTCAAACAGAGGCGTTTAGATGTTGTCACTTCAACCCGATTTTTCCATGACAGCTTTCCAAACTGTCATTTAGGAATTGTTTAATATATTTTTTTTTAGCATTACTTCCCTTTTAAAATTATATGTACTAGTGACTTCCTATGCAGCTGAGTAGTCACAGTACAACAGATATAGGTGTTTGAAACAGTCAAGCACACGTGTTTTTATTTTTATTTTTTCCAAAGAACTGGTCAGCAGCGGGACACCAGCTGTCTGATGTGCTCTGATATGCCTTAAAGTGTATCACTCACTCCTCTCGTCCGTCCATATGGCTGGAACATGGCTGAGCTATGAAGTGCTGAAAACAATCCGGCCATAAATTAGTTAGATTTATCTGCATCCTCTTACTGTACATCATGAATCCCAACACCTCCCAGGGATAGGGTGAAACCGATCTCCTGACCTTTCACCATTTTATTCCACTGTTTTCTTTGATCCAGCGGGGTATCGGTTTCCAGCAAGCTAAGCAGTGGAAGGGCTGGAGGGCTATTCACTATGACGAACGCCGGGAACATCGTGTAGGGAACGAGGTGTGCCTCATGGGTTGCATATGACGACAATGAAAGTTACAGCTTTGTGACAATCCCTTGTAAAACTATTATTAAATCATTTTAATCTGTTAAGATATCACAGTGGTTAAAACAACTTCTAATTCATTCAACAAATTCCTACAAAGAAAGATTATTGTCAAAAGAATTCACCACTCCTAGTAAGAAGGAACCAGTCAGAGCCAGGAGAAATGTCTTAGCAGTGTTAGTCACGCTCATAAACACCCTGCTCACACCCCCCTCCCACAAAGAGTGTCCCGTCATTCAAGCTCCAAACTGCTGGTGTACTGCAGCCATGAGTCGATGTAATGCATATCTTTAATATTTCATCCCTACCAGAAATTGCGTCATTGCTGTTTCCCTCCCTGCAGATCACAAATTTCATGAAGGACCATGGGTTCTCGATGGGGTGTCTGGAAGACACTTTTTGAAGAAGGTGTCTTCCAGAAACTGGCAGTAATTCTGGGAGTTGATCTTGACTCCATCATCAACCCCGAAAAGGTCCCACAAGCTCATCTTTGATGATACCAGCCCATACCAGTACCCCACCTCCACCTTGCTGGCGTCTGAGTCGATAAGGAACTTGCTGCCCTTTACTAATCCAGCCTCGTGCCCATCCATCTGGCCCATCAAGACAAACTTTCAAGCTTTCAAGAGTTCAGCAGGAAGGGCTGTAGCAGCAGAGAGCAAGGGAACCTGTAAGGTGTGCTTGATCAAATGTTCAACCTAAGACCAAGATTATCTAAGAATTCTCAACAGCAGCCTTATTTTGATTTAGTAGTATTCATCACAATGGTTACTTGATCTGATCCAGAGTCAAAAGGAGCATCCAGAGTCAAAGCATCAAAGCAACTTGACCAGCATTTGACCCAGTGTCCAAGTTTTGGCATTTAAGTGTTTTTGACGCCCTAACAAACTAAGTGCAGGCTGTGGGGATTGAACCAGGTACTTGCAACTTTCTCAGAGCACATGCGCTCTAACCACTAGGCCAACAGTCTCCACCATCATGACCACCAGCATTTATCACTTGATGTTCTCTCAAGAATTATATTGACTTATTTTAAGTTGTGACAGCAAGAATATAAGGATCCCCAAATAAAAATAACTTGAGACAAAAACAAAATTGATACTGAAAGACCACAAGGCCTGAGGGGTCTGAGACATTTCAATGATTAGGTGTATACTGATACTAATGACCTTTATTTACAATTAAACTTCAAATCAACTTAAGTTATGCCGGCTCCTGAAAATCTTTAAAAGTTTCCTGATTACAGAAAATCCTGAAATGGGAAGTCCTGCAAGGCTCTATTCTAGGCACAGTTTTATACAATGACTAAACATCCCCTATACTTGGATCAGATAATACTAAAACATTTCTTAACATTCGCATGATGAGGAGAAAACCTAGATTCCTTTGTTACAACATGACCACAACCCCTTAGAGTCACTAAGTGCGTCAATAACCACAGAACGAATGACGAAGAATTTCCTTCAACTTAATACAGAGAAGGTTCCTCAAATGCAAGGTTAGAGATCAGCATTAAGCTAGTGGAAAAAAAAGAACCTTGGAATCCTCACAGACCTGGACCAAAATGTCAAGATTTACATAAATATGAACATTACTATCCAAGAATAAAGCACAAATAAAGGGCTTCCACATTACCCTGAAGAGCTAGTTCATATTATTCTTCAATAGTTTAGATTACAGTAATGCTGTCTTTACCAGTCTGTAAACAAGACTAAATTGAAACAAATAAATAAATAATGCAGTTGCAGCTTCATTAAATGGCTATGGCTCCTTCACATTAAGGAGTGACAACCCTATGGTTTACTTTAGCTTCCCAGAGCAGTATAATATTACTTCATCAGGTCATTTCTTTTGCATATTATTATTTTTGTTTCAGTTACATGTTTGTCAGATCTATACTCGTTTATATCAGATTTTTTTTTGCTTCCTTATTTACCCCAAGTAGCAACTTGATTTAGTCTGTAATTGATTGCATTTATTTGATAAATCTAACAAGTTATCTGTGTTCAGCATCGAAGTGTACAATAAGTATTCTCCACCGTACCTCAAATAACCCACGGGCCACGGGAAAGATCCTCCTCACCACCTGCAAGGCCTGACTGGGGTCAGCCAGGAAAGGAAGCCAGCAGAGGGCAAAAGTCACCAACACGGCGACAGCAATTCTCACCAACAGCATAAACCTGCGTGACAGATAAATAACTTTAACAGTGGGTAGTAGAAATATCCATTGTATTAACAGCATCACTTTGGTATAAATGGAGGACATGTGGCCCTTTTTGCTTGAACATGTCTGTTTCTGCAGGGTTTCCCCAGACAATTAGCACAAACTGTCTGCAAGTCCTAAATTTGGGCCCTGACCCTCATGCAGAGGAATGTAGTGAAAGCCATGCATCAGCTGAAACTCCCCAGTGTGGGTCAGAGTATCTTGTCAGCTGTAACTGTGAAGCTGCTGGTTAAGTTGCACACACAGGCATAGCTGAGGAGTTTGGGCATGGCGAGAGTGTCATCTGGACATATCTTCCCATGGGCCTAATCCGGCACTCCATTTGCTACTAAATGCCCTTGGTACATTGTTACTAGATAAACAGACACTGGACACACTGGTAATAGCATCCAATCTGATTACCTCAGTCATTCTGTGACTCTGAGGAAGACAGTGCTCTCTTACAGACTCACATTACAAGTGTAGGCTTGCAGCTGACACATTCATGCACGCTGACAAAACAATATATTTAACAAATGCAGTCTTCAATTACCGTGTTTTCACTGGGATCAGCTTGAATTACCTTAAAGATTGGAGTTGCCTCGGTGGAGTTTGGTGATAATAAAAAAAAAAACCATGACACTGAAAACAGTAAAACTAAAAAAATAACTGTTTTAACTATAATTTATTTGAAACAGAATAGACATAACAATATGAGTAGTACAAACGTTAATGATTTTTTTTTTTTATTTCCAAAAACCAAAATACATTTTTGCCATGTCAGCTATAGCAATTAAGTTTAAATATCTTAACCATTTGGTTTTTTAGATGAGACAAAGATTGAGCTTTTCAGAACCAGACACTTCAGGTTGGTCTGGCATGAAACAAAGGAGGGTTAAGTGTTTCATCTCTTGGGTACAGGGAGGATCTGTAATGCATTGCGCTTTTTTCCCCCATAAGGGAACCTAAATAAAAGTTGGCACAATAGATGGGGGTAAAAAAACTTCCGGATTGTAGGACAAGTTTGCTGGTTTGAGCTCATGTTAACGACTTCCTAGGCATAGTATCTATCTGCACTTATATAGGCCTACAGAGAGGAAAAAAACGTACCGGTATTTAAACACTCTGTTATTTTGCAAGTTCTCCCACTTAGAAATCATGGAGGGGTCTGAAATTGTCATTGTAGGTGCATGTCCAATGTGAGAGACATAAAAAAAAAAAAAAGAAAAAAAAAAAAGAAAGAAAAATCAAGAAATCACAATACATTATTATTTTTTAACTATTTATTTGTATGACACAGCTCCAAATAATTATTCAAACACCCGAGAAAATCAATGTTAATATTTGGTACAGCAGCCTTTGTTTGGAAATACAGAGTTTAAATGTTTCCTGTAGTTTTTCCACCAGGTTTCCACACACTGCAGGAGGGATTTTGGCCCACTCTTCCACACAGATCTTCTCTAGATAAGTCAGGTTTCTGGGCTGTCGCTGAGAAACATAGAGTTGGAGCTTCCTCTAAAGATTCTCCACTGGGTTTGGGTCTGGAGACTGGCTAGGCCTTGCCACAAACTTGATATGCATCTCCCAGAGCCACTCATTGGTTACCATGGCTGTGTACTTCGGGTCATTGTCTTGTTGGAAGCCCCAGCCGCGACCCATCGTCAGTGCTCTAACTGAGAGAAGGAGGTTGTTCCCCAAAATCTTGCAATACATGCCCCTGGTCATCCTCTCTTTAATACAGAGCAGTCGCCCTGTCCGATGTGCAGAATAACAGCCCCAAAGCATAATGCTACCACCCCCATGCTTCACAATAGGGATGGTGTTTTTGGGATGGTACTAATCAATCTTCTTCCTCCAAACACAGTTGGTGGTATTATGACCAAAAAGTTCTATTTTGATCTCATATCACCACAAGATTTTCTCCCACGATTCTTCTGGATCATCCAAATGGTCAATGGCAAACTTAAGACGGTCCTTGACATGTGCTGGTTTAAGCAGGGGAACGTTCTATGCTATGCATGATTTCAAAACATGGCATCTTAATGTATTACCAACTGTAACCTTGGAAATGATGGTCCCAGCTCTTTTCAGGTCATTGACCAGCTCCTCCCATGTAGTTCCGGGCTGATTTTCTTAGGATCGAATTCCTACGAGGTGAGATCTTGCATGGAGCCCTGGTCCGAGGGAGATTGACATTCATTGTTAGCTTTTTCCATTTTCTAAAGATTGCTCCAACAGTGGACCTTTTTTCACCAAGCTGCTTGGGAATTTCCCGGTAGCCCAAAAGGGCTACGGGGAATTGTTGAGGTGTACAATTGCGTCTCTAGAGTCTTAGGACAGCTCTTTGGTCTTAGCTATGTTAGTAGTTGCATTTTTATTGATTGTATCGGGTGGACATGTGTCTTTATGTAGCTAACAACCTCAAACAGATGCATCTAATTTAGGATAATAGGTGGACTGGAGGTAGACATTTTGAATGCAGACTAACAGGTCCTTGATAGTCAGAATTCTAGCTGATAGACAGGTGCTCAAATATTTATTTGCAGCTGTATCATACAAACAAATAGTAAAAATCATGATTTCTAAGTTAGAGAACTTTCAAAATGGCAGGGTCTTCAAATACTTATTTTCCTCACTGTAGCTCAAAATTGTGTCACCTCTAGAATGTAGTCTGCACTGAAACACCTTTATCTTTGTATATAGAGCAAAGAATTGGTCCTTCTGGCTAAAAAAAAACTCAAGATAAAATTAAAATAAGATTAACATTACAGTATCTAGTGATATTTTCATCTACCAATATCAAAATTATAGCTGATCACCAACTGCTGGCATTTCCAAATTTAAAGAAAAGAAAAAGGTGCAGATTATTGCCTTCTTTAACGATTTGACCATTAGAATCATGTCCGTTCAGTTTCAGGGAGCAGTCCGGGCATTTTTAAATATTTCGATAAAATGTTTCTGAGCCATTGTGCACAGCTGGTAAAACAAAAGATCATGAAAATCTAAAACTGTACAAAAAACAGAATCTTTTTCATTTATGAATCTATGGTTAATGTTATTAGACTTCCTATATGAAATTAAGTTTGAGTATTTGATACTACTAGGGGAGAATTAGGGCGTACCAAAGCCGTACATCCCAAAAACAGGGCGTACAATATAATTTTTTTTACAAGAGGGGGTACAATGTACGCCTGCACAGATTGCTAGCTAAAAGCCTGCTTCTGACCCTATTCTAATGTCTGAAAACGAAAAAGAATAATTAGATAAAACATTTATAGCCTTATAATATTGGCAACATATCAATAAAAATATTGATCCAGCCATCAGTCATCTATATCAGTATAGAGAGATGAATCTGTCAAGCAAACATTCATACAAAATGGCATTGTAGAGTAACCAGATTAGGTAGGATTTCTGTAGGAGGAAGATAATGTACCTGCAGACAACCTACACATGTACAAGGAGAACATGAAGCCTCCATGGAGAAAGACTTCAACAATTCATGATCTTCTTATTGCAGAGCAGTAATGCTACCAGTAGTAATGACAACAGGAGAAATAAATAATTGGAGACATAAAGCAATGACGCTTACCCACGGCCGAGTAGCCCAGCTTTGACACACTTTCCAAGAAGGTAACAGAAGAAGGGCAGTGCATGGTACAGCTCCATCTGTTTGTAGTTGAGAGCTAGAGAGAAGGCAATGGAGCCTAACATGTCCCAGCTCAGCCCGAGAGCCAGAATCCCCCAAAGGGCAAAGCCCAGGCTCACTCCATTATACCCGAGACAGTCAAGGTTATAAAGATGACCAGTTTTACAAGATAACTCAAGATAAATACAGATAAATAAACATCTGAAAAATGTAATAAAAGGGAGACTGGATAAGGAGAGTGTTAAAATTTCAAGACAAAAAAAAAAAAAACGCTTGAAAATGAAGAATTTATTACATAATGCGCCACATAATGCAGCTAAATGACTTGTACTTATATAGTAGCTAAGACTTTAAACACCACCACAAATTAGGTTTATTGTCAAAATATACTACCGGTAAGTAACAGGTGTTGGCAATTAAAAAAAAAACAAAAAAAACCAAGCAACACATTTTCAGCCTGGAATTAATAAAACATAATCTAATCTAATAAAATTATATAAATAGCTGCATAGATGTATAATAAATAGCATTTAAACAAATTAAGGTAAAGAAATAATACTGACAAAAAAAATAAAAATACAACAAAAAAGGATACTGAAAATGACCATAGTCAATGAGAATTAGTCCGGGGTAAAGAAGAATGCTGAGAAGAACAGAAACCTAGAAAGATCCAATCAGAGAACAAATGAGGGAATTTATCTATTTAGAGGAAACTTGTATAAAATAAAATTAGTTACAATCATTACCCTTTTTTTAGTTGAACCACCAGTCAGGAAAAAACTGTATAAAACAACTGCAGGGATGTATATCAACACATCTGTCACCAACACTAAAAGACAGAAACCCCCCCAACAAAGTTAAATTAATTTATTAAACATGGTGCTGCACCCTAAATGCACCAGGGAGCGTTATCACAGATCCTTCCTCCCTGCAACTGTAAGACTTTATAACCATCACTGTTCCCAAGAACCTCAATAAGTTGCACAGTTTCATTCTTCGTCAGTTAAATGACATGCTGCTGTCATTTTTTTTTTTTTTTTTTGCACATCTCTGGTGTTGCAGCTATTTTTCACATACCCATCACTAAAAAAGTGTCCACAACTATTACAGTTTTTTTTTAATTCTCCAGATACAGAGTATTTATATTTTAAAACACCGTACAGAACAATACTCCATTTTATTTTCATATCTGTTATTTGTATACAGTTTTCTACCACTTTTATTATAACCTTTTACTGCTGTTTACACCAAAATTTCCCTGTTTTGGGACAATAAAGGGATTTTGTATTCTCTTCTATTCTAATAATGGTAGCCTAAAACTTTTTAGTAAACAACAAGACCAAAACCTTTGATATATAGTTTGTTTGATTTATAAAAAAAAAAAACAGAAAAAGCAAAAAAGGATCTAAAAAAACATAGCCACACTTACAAAACAGATTGAAAATTGAAAGATAATAAAAAACAATATATACATTACACAGCACTATAAACACAAGGGTTTATATATCCTGTCAGTTCTCTCCAATAGGTGAGAAATGTATTAGAATGTTTTGTATATAATCTAAAAAACAATTATTTGACAGGCACATGCTATTGAAAAGTTGCAGAAGATTTGGAAATGCAAGTTTGTGGTGCAGCTTTACCTGTAGCTCTCATGAATAACTTGTGGGCAGGACTTTCAAAGCCTCTGGATCTGTGCAGCTCCACCCATTCAGGATTTATAAGCTTTGCTCTGCAAACAGAAATCAAATTAAAACTACACTGCAAAAAATCTAATTCTAGACAAGTCATTTTTTTTCTTAAAATAAATGCATTCGTTCTTGAATTGAGGAGGTAAAAGAGACATTCTACCAATGGAACAAGACAATTTACACTTAAAATAAGAAAACACAATTCCATTGTCTTATTTCAAGTACATATAATCTAATTATTTTATTTTAATAGTAAAATTACTCATTCCATTGGCAAACTTTTGGCCCCACTGTATTTACCACCAAATACTTAGTGAGAACTGCTGCTGCATCTGCTTCCTGGAGGGTGTACTGTTTCTGATAATGATGATGATGCAAATAAATACAACTAAATCAAATGATCAGGAATGGAGAGGACTGGGGGGCAACATCAGGAAATAAATTAAATATTGGCTGCAAACTTTGCTATTTAAATTTCTGTATGTATTCTTTCTCTACCAACAAAAACATGGAAATTAAAAGTTATATCAAGAGGATTGAAATGACTCACACATAAGCACAGAGCCAGCTGTGGTAGGCGGTGAGAGGAGGGTAGTCAAGACCCCAGTAGTTTAAGTCATTATCAGTGGTGTTAAAGTACCTGCAGAAAGACAATATGTTACCAGGGAGTTAGAACCGGGGTGACACAAATCTAGGATCTATGTCGATGACCACCAGAACAGAGGCAGACGTGCCATTGTTGCAGAGGAAGGTTGTAGGTCACTTCTTGCCAGTGTCTTTGGGCTTCATAGTCACCGAACATGGGGGGTTTACCTGCACCTGGGTAGAAACCATTGAGCTGTCAGATAAAAGAGCCGCTACTGATGACCGGAAGGGAGCAAAAACAACATTTGAAGGCAATGTACGACTCAATAACAAAACAAATAAAACCACACCGTGCGACACATCTTCTAGAAAATATTTATTAAAACAATCAAAGCAGATGAGAGCTGTCTCGTGCAGCTTCACATTCTTCTTACCTGAATATGAGTTTAATGACACGCTCCATCTCACCACGACAGCGAGTAAAACGCTAATTGATACCAAACTCCACGTTTGCATAACTCTGAGCGGTAAAAAACAAACTTTATTTTAGAAACAACCGAGAAAAGCAGGTCCATTCAGACTCTTTGGGAATCTGTTTCCTGTATACGTCACCCACCAAGGCTTCGTTTCAGCAGCTCATTGGCCGAAGGGTTTGATGACGGAAGATGCGTTTAATAAAATTGGAATTGACAGTGAATCTGTCGCTCCATTAATAACGTTAAGAATATTTATAATGACACTTTTCAATATTCTGTGGCGGATTTTTTTTTTATTGTCTAGACTATAATGTTTTAAATATTTTTAGCACTGTAAAATAAAATAAATAGATACAATAATTACACTTCTTATTCCTAAGTGGAAATGCAATCATGTCCTTAAACATTTTACATTGTGTCATGTTACAACCTATATGTTTATTAGGATTATAGGCTCTATGATAAACCACACACAGATTTGCATAGTACTGAAGTGGTTAAAAAAAAACAACAAAGTTTTGTTTTTACCAAGAAATTGCTGCCCACCCAAACTAACAGGGTGGGGAGAAAAGCAGGCAAAAGGATAATGGTAACTTTAGTGAGCATTTTCTATTTATTTTTTTTTTTTTTTTAAATGGGTTATCGTTTTGTCATGAACTCAACATACCTGGTATTTATGGAAAGTGGCAGAGAGGAAAACAATTATTTAAATATATTGATTTAAATGTATTCCCACCACTGACACATTGTTGTAAAGGAGAGAACAATTCTTTCTTGATGAGTGCACAGTAGAACTATTTGGTGCAGAACCAAAATGCTTTTCTTTAGAAAAAAAATAAATAAAATACAGACCTATAAAGACACATCCCCATACTGAAACATGATAGTAGCATTAAGCTACTAAGAAGTTTTTCTTCAGCTGAGTCAGAGCATTTAATCAGAGTTGATTGGGAGATTGTTGGAGGTACAGAGCCTGATCTAAGAAAGGAATCAGTTAGAGGTTAGGAAAGATTTAAAACTGGGGCGGAGGTTACCTTCCACTGAGACAATATTCTTAAACTTAAAGCTTGAGCTACAGTGAAATGGTTTAAATCAATTAATTAATAACTTAATGACAAGGAAATTCTACATCATCTTTACACTTTTTTTTCCTCAAATAAGTACACATTTATTTTGTATAAATGTCAAAATATGAAAAAAGTGTCATGTTTTAAGCACATTTTATATTAATCACAAAGAGTTAAAAATTTAAACAAACATTAAACAACACAAGTTAAATATTTTAACATATTTTTTGTGTTTGTGTTTGCCAGGTACAGCTTTGGCAAAGGTACACAACATATGAAACGTTCTTCACCTCATCATAATCAGAGAGAACTGAGTCTCCTTTATAAAACTTTGCTTTAGAACTAGTTTGTTTCTTTGAACATTTTTAAGATAAAGAGTTTCTTGTATGAAACTTTAGAATGCTGCTAAATGAGTCACATAATAAATGGGATTCATTCTTGTATATAGTCCGTGAAACTTTGCTGTGATTTGTTTTATAACAGAATTTTGTGTCCTTTATTCATAGGTAGGTGAATAAGAAATGGAGCAGAGAGAGAAGGGGAGGACATGCTGCAAACAGCCGAGGTCAGCAGCTGAATCTAGCCTCAACCAAAGAGCAAGTTTTAAATTATGAAACACATTTAAAGGTTATAACTACAACTTTTTTTAATCTAAATTATGAATAAAAAAATACATCTACTGAAGGTCTAGAGTGGTGAAGAAAAAAGTATTAATTTTTCTTGAAAAAAAAATAGTATTTGAATAAATATTTTATATATAGTGACAATTTCAAAAAACATATTTACTTACTTATCATTAGCAATGTGGTCATTAAAAAAAGATTCTGCACCAATAGGAATGATAGGTTTGATGATAGCAAAGGGGCTCAGAAGGCACCCTAAGTTTGCTGCTTGTCTTCTGAACAGATACATTAGAGTACCTGGCAACTGCTTGGCAAACAGTATGAAATGAATGTGCCACTTAATGGCTGGGAGGGGTTACCCTTGTAGCTATCACCCTTAAATATATGAATAAATGTGTAATGTGTGTTTGAGATAACTCTCTCATTTGAACAACCAATATCAGACATGTCAGAGGAAAATAAAATAACATTGGTCAACATTTTTAGTAGCCTCTAAGATCAAGCTTAATGCCATCCTGTAATATATTACAGTCAAACAAGACAAGAGATAATTAGCCAGTGACAAAAAAAGGATTTTTGGACATGTCACGTGAGGCTTTCCTATCTAAAAACACTGTAACCACTTTGTGGTAGCCCTATGCTGTGGCATTATTTTATGTGGTATGGTGTGCACAACTTAGATTGAATAATCAAGAACTAATTCAACAGTTAGTTGATTAAATTCATGTAAAATACCAATTCTTCAAGAAGACAGGCCCAAATCCAGTCAAAGTTGTTTGTTTTCTGTTTAACTTCAATAACATAATTCCAGCCAATATTAATAAGTATTTTTGTATAAATTTAGGACTTATATATAACTTTAAATCTGTTTGTATTAAAAAAAAAGTTCAAATAAGTAACAATCTGAAAACATAGTGATGATGAACTGTTTGTATTTCAGATTCTTAGCTCTGAATGTTTAGATTGCAAAGCCATTGTGTCAATAGCTTAGTTTCAACACTTTTCAAATTAACTCTTATTATTTGATATTAAGGTGAAAATATTTGGCATCTTTCATGTACCATGAGAACTCTCTGTATACAGACAGTATGTTATGCTACCCCTTTCCCTCATAAATCCCAGCCCAAGGCCATTCCCTCCATGTGTGACCTTTTCTTCAGTTGACACCATCATCCTTGCTCTCAAGGTGTTAGGATTTGTTGGATGTGACATGTTACTTGTGGTTCTGCCATCAATTATGCATAAATAATAATAGCCTCACCCAAATGCTGATTTGCAATGACACTTGCATTCCGACGGCAGCAACCTATAACTCAGTGCTACCTATTATTAATGCCTGGCCATGCCAGTTTTACTTTGTCATTTATTGCTTCATCTCCATACCTTTTTAAATATTCAACAACTGATGTATGTTCATTTACTGTCTGTGTTCTCTGCCCAGAAAAGGCCTGTAGCCTCTGGTGGAGGACGACGTAGTAAAGATGGTAGGCCAAGGTTTTGCTGTTTACTCAGGAGAATATGTGAAGTTGGGTTATTCGTGTCAAGCTTTTAAATAGTTACTGCATCAAAGCCCCCATATTTAAACCCTCATTTTAATATCAATTATGGCCCTTTTAACTAACCGGCTTATATCAAATTTTTGTTATTTTACTACATTAAATCCCAAATGGCAAAATTATAATAAAGTAATCAAAAATAATACACAAATTCTACAGAATGGCTAGGGTGGTGCAGAATAACAGTATATGAAAATTATTTTTTTAGAAATACATAAATGTTTGATTATGGTTACGACGCAAACATTTACAGACAAAGAAGAAAGCTCAGGTGTGGCCGGATCGTAGCAGCTCCTGGTAGAGCTAATAAATTGTTTTTTCTCTGTGTTGCAATGAGTTGCATTTCTCAGATTCAAGTCGAAAAACAAAACAAAAGAGAAACCAGTAAGGTTATAGATTGGTCAAGCTTTTTGCTGTCAGTTTAAGGAAGCAAAGGGGCTTAGAAGCCACTTGAAGGTTTCCAACATTCTACCGGACAGGGAAGTTAAATTTTTGGTTTTGTTAGTATTATCATAAGTGGACCTGGCAGTAGGCTGACAAACAGTACAGAGTGAGGGCGAACGAGCACAAGTGTGCCACTTACTGGCAGAAAGAAGTTAAAGTTGAAGCAATCACCTTTAAAATAAATAAATATAATACTTCTCTCAACTTTGATTATATATTTCCGACATCTTTCTTCCTTTCTCTCTCTTGTATTTTTGTGTAGATCAAGTCATTAAATGGGCTTCTTTAGCCATTAATTTGTTTAGTCCAACATACACCATAAACATTTTTGACCTAATGCCGGCTATGTAGACCAGGCTCCTGCTCTACCAGTAGTGAGACTGGATGCCGCACAGTAAAGGCTTCCTGACTCGGTACTCCTTAAGCGCCCCCACAAGACACCATGAAAGACCCAGTCGAATACCTTCTTCGGATCCACAAAGCACATGTGAAAAGGTTGAACAAACTCCTATGAACCCTCAAGCACCCTGCAAAGGGTGAGGAGCTGGTCCACTGTCCTATGCCTAGGACTAAAACCAAACCGCTCCTTCTGAAGCCGAGGTTTGACCATCAGCAAGACTCTCCTCTTCAGCACCCTGGCATAGGCCTTACCGGGTAGGTTGAGGATTGTGATTTTACATTAGTTTAAACACAATCTCTGGTCCCCGTTTTTATGCAGAGGATTGGAGAAAATGACCTACCACCTGAGGATCAAGTCCAAATACCTGAAACGACATTGGAGAAAGTGGGTTGATCGGCCTGGTGCCACGTACACTGATTGACATCCTTATGCTTTAACATGGTGTTCATTATTGACAATCTCTGACTTGTTCAGAGCTGGGGGTCCATTCCCCACTTTAACAGCAGGTGTCATGGGCGTTGAAGTACCCTAGCAGAGAAGAAGGCCTGCTACTCCATAATGCTGTTTGGCCCATAGGCCTAAACAACAGTTAGAGACCTACCCCCTGCCTGAAGGTGAAGGGATGTGACCCTCTCATCCATTGTCCATCTCGCCCATCCTCTCCCGGCAGGCCACTTCAGAGTATAACAGAGTCCAGCTAGGATTCAGAGCCCACGCTATGCGTGAAGGAGAGCCCGACTATTTTTAACCATATCGCTCCACCTCCTGCACAAGCTCAGGTTCCCTAACCCCGAGCGAGGTGACATTCCATGTCCCCAGAGCCAGTCTAAGCACCCACACATTGGGTCGCTGAGGCCTCCGCCTCTGACTGTTGCCCAATACTCTTCGCACCAGTTCCTCATGGTTCCCCTGCCAGTGGTGAGCCCACTGTGGGATAGACTTGCGTCACCCCTTTGGGCTGGCGTCAGCTGGGTCCCGCCAGGCGCTCACTGACGAACTGACCGAACCCCAGGCCTGGCTCCTATGTGGAGTCCGCCATATTGG